TTATTGCTACTAATGACTTGAATATGCTAAACTTTATTATAAAAAAAATATTACCCGTTAAATTCAAAAATTATACTCCAACGACTTTATTGAAGGGAATTCGTTTAATTTTTCAAAAGTTGAAACTTATATTAGTTTTTTTAAAAAAATAGATTGATTTTATTAATTTATTCATTTTATTTTATGTAGAGAAATTTGAGTAATAAGAACAATTTATTTTGTATGAAAAATAAAATTAAAAATATTTGTGTTGATTATAAACCGTTAACCGTCAAAGAACGGAACACAACATACTCAAGTGATTAGCAATAATTATATGTTTCATTTTATCCTCCATTGAATAAAACTAAGACTTATATCTTATTTCCTCATTAATTTTATTTTGAATCGTTGAGGTTATTGCTCTTTTCATAAGAGTAATTTGAAGAAGAAAAAGTAGCGGGAATAGAGAAACAACTTAAAAAATTGGTTAAAGATTTAATTTCACGAAGAGTTTCGTTAATATAAACCTAAATTATTTGTATAAAAAAATGGACAAAGACCAAACCTGATAAATTTTTGAATACTTAAAGGACTAAAACTGGTAAGTGTATAGTTAAGAGACCAAAGCGGATAAGTCTTTGAATACTTAAAGGATTAAAACCAATAAATGTATAGTTAATGAACGAAAATTGATAAGTTTTTGAATAATTAAAAGACTAAATCCACAAAAATATAAAACTTTAAATTAAACTAGTTAAAATTTATTATCTACCAATAAGATTTTTGAACAAAAATCAACGTATTTATTAGAACAATTGTCCTTGCAATTCTTCCACATCTCTTCTTCTTGTTCAAACTAAGTGTTGTGATTTTTTTATAAAGCATAATTGTCTCTAAAATCGAAAAAAGGAGTTTACATGGTCAGATCTCTTAGGGGATTAGCAATAGAACGCACATAAAGAATCATAAAAAAAATTATGAAAAAGAAAACATATTTTCCTATTTCGTCTGTTGTTCAAAATATAGGCTTTAAATCTAATTTCATGGATAAATATATATGATAAAATATATCTTTCTATTCTGTCCTGTTCAAAATACATGCTTTACATCTATAAAGAAGAGAAGTTTGTCTAGTTCAAAATACAGGCTTTACATCTATAAAGAAGAGAATTCCGCCTATTCAAAATACAACATTTACCTCTATATGGAAGAAAATTCACTCATAGAAGATCGAATCATCAATGTTCTCGAAAGCGCGCAACTTCTTGATTATCAATTAATTGATGTACAATAGATCCCTCAAAAAGAAAATAGAGGGCATTGAATTTCTTATTCAATAATTAGTTAAGAAAATAATACTATAAATTATTAAAATTGTAATTGATTTTAAAGTCTTAAATTATTAGAACTTAATTTAAATTAGGAAAGATTCGACAAACCAAATTTTAGTCAATTTCAAATATTAAATATTAGGAGTTTTATCTCTTACAAATAAATGAAAAATTAAGAAGTATAAGCTAAAATAAAATGATAATTAAATGTCAATTATTTAAGTGTATGCATTTTACATGTATAAATTATTTTACTTAAATTATTATTTAATTATATTTATAATATTTCAAGTGTCTCACGTTAGTGCTGTTCAAAACTGAATTGAAATTGATAGTCCAAATCAATAATTCAGTTATTGGGTCAATGGTTCGGGTTAATAGCTTAATTGTTCGGGTCTCGATTTACTATAAACTTCTTATCGGCTTATTAGTTCGGGTCTCGGTTTGGCCATATTTCTAATCGGGTGCCCCAATAACCCGATAAGAAGTTTAATTAATTACATTTATATTACTTAAGGCCTTAGGCGCTTTTAGCTTTTAGGGTTTACACTTCAGTCTTCAGACTCTTTAGAGTAAATTTATAGTTGACACTCAAATTTCACAATAATTTTCCAAACTGCGACATCACTCATTGATTCACTGTCACTGCTCCCACACCGACAAGTTTTATTGATTACCATTCTCTAAGTGTCTAAATTGAGGTTATTGGTTCCCTTACTTTAAGTCTTTGTTTTTATCTTCTCATTACAGTGAGTGAGTCAGTGAGATATGCCTACAATATTGCAATACTATAATCTGCAATGAATTTTTTTTATTAGTAATGGTCTCATGATCATTAATGGTTTTCTTTAGTAGTGCTTTAATTGTTTCTCTTTATAGTTCATATCAAAATTGACTTGGTTGTTATGAGAAATCCTTTTGAGTTTGCCAGTTTGGGCAATATTGACATATATGTCCAGGTTAATATGAAGTTTTATTAAGTGTTTTATGTAGTAATAGACTAACATGGAAAAGTTCATTAGTGACTACTGGCTACTGCGTATTGTTAATTAGTGATTAGTCCATTAGTAATTTTCAACGAAAATTATGTGAACAGTTAAAGGTTAACCTGATAACCAAACCGATAAAGATCACTAACCGATAACACAATATCTTAACAGTTCTATAACGGTTTAGCATGATTACAAACGGATAACCGATAAGTAAAATCGATAAATTCCAAAATCGAACTGAAATGACCGATACGCAGCCCTTTCTCACGTACAAACCTATATAGAATTAAAGGCTATAATGCCACACCAAACTGTCGGAAAAAGTAATAAAAAAAACTTATTGATTTTCATAATATTTTATAAAAGGAAAGTTTTTTTAAAAAAAACTAAGACCTCATTTGTTTTCATTAAGATTAAGACGTATGAATCTGAATGCACATCTGAATATTAAGATATGCATTAAGATTAAGTTGTTGGAATCTGAATATTAAGATATGGTTTCTAGGTCTAAACACTGAATCATTATTTTACTATATGATATTATAAGGATAAATTAAATAATAATTTGAAGAAAAAGGTGAAAAAATAATTTGTCTAAAAAAAAATTTCTAATGAAGGCAAGAAGTTAAATCAATTATGTGGAAGACTTTTATCCGAAAACGAAATTGTATAAACCATAATAATTTGCAATTAGGTTTTGGAATGGATGGACCACAAAAATTAAGAAATTGGTGCAAGCCTGTCAGATGAGTTCAAGGATAAAAGTGTAAAATTTACGAAGTAGCAATCGAAAAATAAAAAAGTTTAGCTAATTAATAGTCACAACTCACAACCCACTTTTGTAAACCATACCCAATTGTTGTCTTTGTTTTCAGAACAAATAATTATTTACTTATCCATTTTTTTCTTGTAAATACAAACTGAATAATTTTGTCGCTAAACCTCTACAGACAAATTATCTTAATTTAACACAAAATATTCATTTTTTGTTTGGCCAAACACATATGCAGACCCTTAAATTTGTCTCTAAATTTCTTTTTTGCACTCCAACTCAACCTTGTTCCATTTTAACCCTTTAACTTCAATTTTTATGTTTCATTTAGGCACTTTTAAGTGATGTGGCAGAGTGTGTGCATCATACTTTCTCTAAGAGAGTGAAAGATAAAAATATGTTTTTTTCTTTAAAAAAATAATAAAAGATTAACCCTTCAACTTTTTTTTATGTACCATTTAAACAGAAAATACTAATTTTATGATTTCTTTATTTCTATATATACTCTTCAACTGCAATTTTACATTTTAAAAATCAACATTCATCCGTTAGTTATTGTAAAAAAAATAAAAATTGACGGATGATCATTGATTTTTTATTTTATTTTTTTTTAAAAAATAACAATTTCTTTATGAGAGTTTCTCTGTATTTTCGTGTGAAAAATAACCTACAAAAGTGCGCCGATTTTCTTTCTTAAAAAAATCAATGACAACCCAACAAAGTGTGTCGAGTTTTAGCATTTTTTTGTAATGTTAGTAATTAGCAATGAACATGAGTTTTTTTTACTCGTATTTAGTTGATGAAAAATTAGAAAGCTGGTATTTGAGTTAAATCCAAATAACTAGATATGAAAAAAATATGTGGTGTCATTTAATTTAATTAATTATTTTAAAAAATAAAAACAACACACTTTCGTCGGTTATTTTTTCACATAATAATGTAGAGAAACTCTAAAAAAATTAATTGAAAAATGATGTTCATCCGTTAATTTTTTTTAAAGATATGTCGTTGATTTTTAAAATGAAAAAGTAGAAATGAAGAACATATATAAAAATAAAGAAATCATAAAATTAGCATTTTGTGTTTAAATGGTATATAAAATAGAGTTGAAGGGTTAAAATGAAATAAGGCTAAGATATGGTATCAAAATAAAAAATGGAGGCAAGTTATAGGAGTTGTGTATGTGTTTTTAATTGACTTTTGTGTCATGTCATGGTGTGTGAAGTACATGTTAGATATTTTAATTAAGTAAGTAAGTTTCTTCTTTCCTAGTTTAAAGGGTATATGGTTGTTATTTCCAAGTTACTGGAAACGTGTGACTTAGTAGGTCAGTTTTAATTTCTTTTATGGCTTAGTGGTTGAGATAGTGTAGGATGTGTATTGCCTTTATAAAGGTTGTTCATTGTTTCAGTTTAGTGAGAAGCTTACTACCTCCCAAACTCTTATGTGTTTATCTTGATTTCTTTCCAGTTTTCTAATAGTGGTATCAAGAGTCAGGGAGGGTGAACGTGCTTTAATTGTGAGTGAGCGATGGTTTCAGAGAGTTTTGTTTAACCTGCTATTCCATGCTTTGATGGTCATTATGACCATTGGAGCATGTTGATGGAAAACTTTTTGAGATCCAAAGAGTTTTGGGCAATCGTTGATGGTGGATTCCAAGAACCTGCAGCTGGTGTTGTTCAAACCAATGCTTAACAGACAGAGCTCGAAGCACTGAAGTTGAAAGATTTGAAGGCGAAGAATCTTTCCCAAGCCATTGACCGTTCAATATTGGAAACAATTCTTTGCAAGGATACGTCAAAGCAAATTTGGGACTCCATGAAGAAGAAGTACCAGGGAAATGCAAGGGCAAAGCGAGCATAACTTCAAACTCTACAAGGTGAGTTTGAGACCTTGCGTATCAAGTCGGTAAAGTCGGTGTCAATGTACTTCTCACACGACAATTGCCAACAAGATCGGATTCATGGAGAGAGGCTTGAAGACGTCACCATTGTTGAGAAGATCATGCGGTCCATGTTGCCAAAATTCAATTTTGTTATCTGCTCAATTGAAGAGTCAAAAAATCTGGATACTCTTTCACTTGATGAATTACAAAATTCGTTGATGGTTCATGAGCAGAAGATTGTTCAACAGGATGTAGAAGAGCAAGCATTACAAGTAACCACAACCTCCAAAGATTTTATGCGCAGAAAGAGCAAGTAGAAGGGAAGAAACTCTGAGAAAACCGAAGAGGGAAATCGAAAAAAGAATGGTCAGCATGATCGTGATCGACGACACTCGTCCAATGGGAAGGCTAGGTTTGCAGATAAGTCTCATATCGAGTGTTATAGATGTCACAGGTATGGTCATTACCGTTCTAAATGTCGTACAAATCTGAAAAATGTACGTGGAGAGAACTCTAATTTTGTAGAAGTAACTAAGGAGGAAGATGAGGTCTCTCTGTTAATGGTGAGCCAATCCTCAGAAGAATACCACACAAGTTTATGGTATTTAGACACGGGTTGTAGCAACTATTTGTCTGGAGAAAAATCTGCATTTTCTGAACTAGATGAAACTTTTCACACAACAGTCAAGTTTGGGGATGATTATTGTATTGCTGTCAAAGGGAAAGGGAAGGTGAAACTCCAAACAAAGTCTTCTTCTATGAAGATTATCTCTGATGTTTTCTTTACACCAGACCTAAAAAACAATCTTATCAGTGTGGGTCAACTTCAAGAGAATGGCTACGAGGTGTCTATCAAGCATGGAATTTGCAAAATCTGAGATTCTAATCTTGGATTGATCGATGAAGCTAAGATGACTGCAAATAAGTTTTTCCCAATTGATATGCATAATATTGGCTCTACCAATTTTTGTTTTTCAACAAAATTGAATAGTCAAGCATGGATTTGGCACTACAAATATAGGCATTTGAATTTTGGAGGACTGAAAATGTTGCAGCAAAAGAAGATGGTTATGGGTCTTCTTAAGTTTGATATTCCTGTAGATATTTGTGAAGATTGTGTCATTGGAAAGCAATCTCGCGATAGCTTTCCAAAAGGAAAAGCATAGAGAGCTAAAAGGCAGCTAGAGCTGGTTCACTGAGATATTTGTGGACCAATAAACTCGATATCCAACGGAGGAAAATGTTACTTTATAAATTTTATTTAGCCGAAAGACATGGGTTTATTTTCTGCAAGAAAAATTTGAAGCTTTTACCAGTTTCAAAAGCTTCAAAGCTCTTGTTGAGAAGGAGACAAGATGTTCCATAAAGATTCTTCGTACTGATCGTGGAGGGGAGTATCTTTCACAAGAATTTATAAGTTTTTGTGAGTTTCATGGGATACAACGGCAACTTATAACAGCTTATACTTCTCAACAAAATGGAGTATGTGAGAGGAAGAATCGGACAATCATGAATGTTGTGCGAAGCCTTTTACAAAAGAGCCATGTTCCAAAAGTTTTTTGGCCTGAAGTAGTTTGCTGAGCGTCTATGTTTTGAATAGAAGTCCTTCTCGTGCTATTCAGAACATGACATCAGAAGAAGCGTGGAGTGGACAACAACCAGATGTTTAACACTTGAGAGTGTTTGGGTGCATTGCATTTGCTCATGTTTCGGATCAGAAAAGGACAAAGGTTGATGACAAAGCCAATAAGTGTGTTTTCATGGGTGTTAGCAGGGAGTCAAAAGCTTACAAGTTGTACAATCCTATCAACAAGATGGTGATTATCAATCGTGATGTGGTGTTTAATGAAGATAATATTTTGTTGTGGGAAGAAAAACCGAACAACCAACAAATTCCTTTGGATCTTGATGATGGAGATAAGGAGCAAGAGCAACCAGTAGCCGATGAAGGTGTTTCTACCTTGGTACATCAAGAAGGCACCAGTTTCCGACCTCAACGAAATCGAAGAAGGCCAACATGTATGGCAAATTATGAGGTAAGTGGAAATGTTCAATCTGGAAATAAAGATTCATCTACATATTTAGCTTTATTTTCTGGTTGTGATCCCGTAATATTTGAAGATGCCTATAGAGATGAAAAGTGGTAGAAGCAATGGATGTTGAGATTGCCACAATTGAAAAGAATAATATTTGGGAGTTATTGATATTCCAAAAGGCCAAAGGTCGATTAGAGTTATATGGGTTTATAAGACCAAACTCAATGAATATGGTGAAGTTGATAAGTACAAAGCGCGTTTGGTTGTGAAAGGATACAAGCAAGAGTATGGTGTGGATTACAAGGAGGTTTTTGCTCTGGTAGTCAGACTTGATACCATCCGATTGATGTTGGCATTGGCAGCTCAAAACAATTGGCCGATTTATCAACTTGATGTAAAATCAACCTTTCTGCACTGAGTGTTGCAAGAGCAGGTATATGTTGATCAACCTCCTAGTTATGTGATGCATGAAAGTGAGCATAAAGTTTATAGATTGAAAAAGGCCTTCCCCGAGCTTGGTATAGTCGCATTGATGCAATTTTAATCTGGAAACTTTTAGAAAATGTCCATACGAGCATACACTTTATACAAAACTTGAAGATGGAAAACTTGTTATTATATGCTTATATGTAGATGATTTGATTTATACCGGGAGTGATCCTGCATTTCTTGAAAAAATTAAGCTATCTATGATGACTGAGTTTGATATGTCTGATCTTGGCTTGATGCATTATTTTTTGGGCATTGAAGTAAAGCAATCAACTAGTGAAATATTTATTTCACAAAAGAAATATGTCCAGGAAACATTATAGAGGTTTGGAATGCAGAATTGCAATTCTATCACAACACCAACAGAGTTGGGACTGAAGTTGGAAAAGAATCCTATAGGAAAAAAGATTGACAACACTCTTTTCAAGTAACTTGTGGGATGTCTGATGTATCTAACAGTCACCAGATCTGACATAATGTATTCTGTCAGTCTTGTTAGCAGATACATGGAGCACCCAAAATAAATTCATTTGTTGGCTTCTAAAAGAATTCTCAGGTATTTGTAAGGTACCATTGACTATGGTATTCTATACAAGAAAGAAGGCAAGTCAGAGTTAATTGGCTTTACAGATAGTGATTTTGCTGGAGATAAAGAAGACAAGAAAAGCACTTTAGGTTATGTGTTTATGCTTGGATCTAGAGTTGTTTCTTGGTGCTCCAAGAAGCAACCAATTGTTACATTGTCCACTACAGAAGCAGAGTTTGTAGCTGCAACTGTGTGTGCTACCCAAGCAATTTGGTTGAAGAAGATATTGGCTGAGCTTCATGTTCGACAACAAGAACCAATTCTGATTTACTGCGACAATGGCTCAGCGATTAAGCTTTCATAGAATTCAATGTTGCATGGACGGAGCAAACACATAGATGTTAAGTTTCACTTCCTGAGAGATCTCACGAAGGAGAAAGTTATTGATGTTGTCTACTGTAGAAGTAAAGACCAAGCTGCTGATATCTTCACTAAGTCCCTCAAGCTCAGAAAGTTAAGGAAGCTACTTGGAGTTTGCACTTTAAAGGAAAGTTACGGTGAATGATGTTATTAAGCTGAAGTCGTAGGCTTATGAGTTTAAGGGAGGGTTTGTTAGATATTTTAATTAATTAAGTTTCTTCTTTCCTAGTTTTAAGGGTACATGGTTGCTATTTCCAAGTTACTGAAAACGTGTGACTTAGTAGGTCAGTTTTAATTTTTTTATGGCTTAGTGGTTGAGATAATGTAGGATGTATATTGCCTTTATAAAGGCTGTTCATTGTTTCAGTTTAGTGAGAAGTATACTACCTCCCAAACTCTTCTGTGTTTATCTTGATTTCTTTCCAATTTTCTAATAGTACACACATCCACTTTGTTGATTCTTTGAAAAGAAGTGCCTAAATGAAACATAAAAAATGAAGTTGAAAGGTTAAAATGGAACAAAGCTGAGTTGGAGTGCCAAAATGAAAATTTATGTATAATGCAGCAAATTGTTTTTCTATTAGGAGTAGAAGCTGAGGCAAAGTAAGGATTTAAGACTTACGTACATCTTAAGATAAATACAAAGTTTCAACCAAACCTACAGGTCTCGTTTGAACCAGTAAAATATGAGTCTCCTCCCCTAAAGTAGAAAGGGCACTAATCTAGCAGGCTTCACCATTTTGCAAAAAAGATGAACACATCATCAATGGAAGAAAAAGGGTATGCAGACAAAACTTAATTTCATCTGGTTCCAGTGTCACTAGTAAATAGTAGTAATAACGTTTTCTGGAAAGAGGACAAAGCAGACATCTTTCAAGTTAGCTTGCATATATTTACATACATCCAAGATGCAGGTGAACTCAGGGAAAAACATAGGGAAAAACAAGAGAAAGTTTCACCAGACATAACATTTTACTAAAACCACAGGGAAAAAGATATATAAAGCTTAGGATCTGTTGAAGGCGACTAGTCATAAACAAACACAATCTCCTTCAACAAGGATGAGCACACTTCCTACTAGTTTTTCTTCATCCTCTTAACGCTGTACTTTCTCTTTACAGGAGGCGGTTTAGGTGCACGGGCAGAGTTTTGAGCAGGAGCCTCTGGATGATGTTTGACTGTTCCATCAGATAAGTTCGTCACGGCACCAGTTGGTCTCCACCCATTTGAAAAAGCAATCACATCCTTGCCAATCACATTCTCATACTGCAAAACAAGATTATTAGTCGTTACATCTTGCCAAAGGAAAATAGGCTTAACAATTAAACATGGGGAATGTCAAGGAAACTTTGTACAACAGTGAGAATTTTGAAACAAACTTCATCTACAAATATATAAGTGTGAAACTAGGCCTTATAGTTTTACACTCATATGTCTTGGGAGTTTTGAGTATTTATCCAAGAATTTGAGATGATGGATCACCATAATCAACCAAATAAAGGTAAAGTCTTGAGTACGATTAGGCATGGCAACAAGATGTCAGTCCATCGGAGCCTGACCTTGTATAAGACATGTGAGAACTCTCAATGATACATGTTAAATCTTTGATCTCACACCTTGAGGGACCTTTTCTACTAGACTTTCTAGAAACTAAGGCTACTGATACATCAAGATCCAAGAAGTCTAAATTGTAACAAAGGGTTTAAAAACTATAAATAATTTATATGGTTTGAATATAGCAGTCTTTAGGTGGATAATTCCAAGTCGACAATTGTCAATGGTTTCAATTTTCATAAATTTAAAAATAAAATCTGCAATTATCAACAAGTCATATATCATGCCACGAAAGGAAAATGACGAGTCACATCACACATCCCATATAGTAATGGCATCCTGCCCATCACCAGTCAACAAGGCTGATCTTCGGTACTGTAGAAGTACTTTAACTTCATATTTTGTAAAAACAAGCTGACAAAGGTTTTGAAAGATCACACTGTCTTTAAAACATTAGCCACTATCTGAGGACCACGATAATTCAATAGAGAAATAGAAAACACAATAGCAAAGTCGGTGATGAGGCCAAGCTTGAGAAAGCATGTTAATAAATGTTCAAATATCAAAATGGATCTATGTTGCCTCTTATCAGTTCTGCTCTTGGTAAATGTTTATTCGGTGAGTACCTCCAAAAAATTGGATACATTGAAATCCTTCTTCCACACAATTCAAGTATATACCTCACCAAGAAAAGCTAAGGACATTAGCGAGCAGATGGTGATTTCATAACAGGAACAAGAAGTAGCATCCACAAGGTGATAAATCAGAATACATCCAGTATAAGGAATACCACTTACTATCTTGACTTTTCCAGACATGTAGTGTAATTTCTGGGCTTGTTGATAGTTTTCCTCCGTCAAGGCCTCGATCTAGATAGCGATAAATATCATCCTGATCAAATTTGAAAATTTTACCATAAAATGAATCGAGACAAACAGACTACCTTTTTCACCGAGGAAGTATACAGAATTTTATAGTTGAGGTTTGTTGGCGTAGCTTCACTTGCAAAGGGCCTTTTGCATCTCTGTTAAGTAATTAAAGCTACAAGCTTCAGGCATAGCAAGATTAAAGAAGAAAAGCAAGTAAAATGACAACACAAGATACACTCACAGTCTGGACCAAATGGTCAACTATCATTTCTGAGCTACTCACATTCCTGATCGGTTCAGGACAAATTGGCTCTACATGCAGCTCTGTGTCTCTATCACAGTCAGTAGGATCGACGTGATGAATACCTTCCCTCCCATGTCTTTTCCCAAATGACCCTATACTTTTAAGCTGACCAGGTTGTCTAACAATCATGCCATTGGCCTTTAATGTTTTCCTCTTTGAGGAAATTGCTTGAGAATGTTTACTTTGCGCATTAGTCAATGCAGAGTTTGTTGGACCATCAGCCTGCTGATTAATATTGAGACATTGCAATCAGTCAACTCAAGGGACAGGAAGTATCATGTACTTCTATAGTCCAGCTTGTCCATTGAGTGAAATGAATAAGCAAATAAATAAATATTTGATCGGGCTTAGAGAAGGAGCATTTAAGAAAAGTTTCAGGCATAGCAAGATATAAAAGTAAACAGACATCAAAAACAAGAGACATCCTTACAGTGTGGACCGGACAGTCAACTTCAATTTCCGAGCTACTCACACCCCTGATTGGTTTAAGACTGATTGGCTCACCATGCAGCTCCTCATCTCCATCACAGTCGGTAAGATCGATATGCTGAACAGGTTCCTCCCCTCGTCTTTTCCCGAAGAACCCTAAGCTTCTAAGTCGATTGGATCGCCTAACAATCATGTTATTGCCCTTTGTTACTTTCCTCTTTGAGGTAAAAGCTGCAGATTGAGAATCCTTACTTTGCACGTTATCAGTTGTCAATGAAGAGTGACTTGGACCCTCAGCCACCTGTGATCGTGAACGAGACATTCAATCACTCTTGAGGTATAATGTATTTCAATAGTACAGCTTGTCCAAAGTAGAAAACGAATAAGCAAATATATAAATCTTTGCCAGGCCTTTGAGAAGGAGCATTTAGGAATAGGTTTGACATGCAAGGCCAATTAATAACTACTATATGCAGTGTAAGTATCAAAAGAAGTAGCCATATTAGCAAGCACATCAACGAATAAGGCAAACTTGGTCATTCAGAAATGAAAGATGAATGCAAAATAGTTTACAAATTTAATCAATAACTGAAGTGCAATCCTCATTGAAATTTGTGCAATTGTCAACAAACAACATCCAAAAAAACAGTATAACCAGGATAATAACATTTTTTTGCACATTAGTACAAATTGTAAATCATCAACAGAACTGTTTCCTATCAAGGGTAAAAGTAAAAAGTAAAAACAGACAAATTGGAAGAGCTATTCTTTGCACAAAGAAACCATAAGATAATCACTATACAAACTACAAAGCAAGAACCAAGTAACCAAACACAGAAAGTGGGATGAGTGAAAATGTAGCTAATCAACCTCCAACTTCAACTACTAGTTTGAGGATTCGAATCGACCCCGTTGATCCATTTGGGTGGGTAAAAATATAAATAATTAACCCCACCCCAACCGCTGGCTTCCACAAAAAGTAAAATGAAAACGAGGCATTACAGGTAACTAGCAAAAACAGAGGCAGCTTAGGAGCATAAAAAATCCAAATTGGAAAAGAAATTACACTATATATATACACTGTTACGTATATCCAGAAGATATTGAACTTTATATTGTTTACTTCTCTATATTTTGAATACCCTAGTGAAAATCCTATTTCCGCCTCTGCATTTCAAATGGATACATATTGCCTACACACACGCCACCTTCACCCGAAAACAAAACTCATCTTTTCTCCATAACCACGCAAAAAACAGAGTACATCGGCATTATCAGCAATCTTTATTGGTCAGCAAAATAAAACACATTCAGGTCATTTCCCTGATGATCATACCTCATTCTGGGATGCTAAAGATGCCCTTTGAATATACTGCTCTTCCTTTAAATGCACAAAATACTAAGGGAAACGATGAACTGTGGAAAGTACGGAAAATTGTTGCGTAAAAACAAGGGCAAAAAATAGATACCTCATTGTGGTTACTTCCATGTCGGCTTTTCTCTTCCTCCATCTTTCCTTTGCGGCTATTGACAACCTTCTTGCTACCATTGTTTTGTATCTCAAACAAGAAAACTGCTCACAGACGTGCTTTATTTTTATTTTAGAGAGTAGCAAAAGCTTTACTTTTAATGTGAGCAGAGAAAGCTGCAGTAGCTGGGGGTAACATTGATAATATGGTACACTATTTGAAATTTCGGTATTGTAATTTTGATATTTAGTTTTAAAAATTATTATATTAGTATCATATCAATTTAATTTGATATATTAATTTGGTTTTAATAGTTTGT